ATTTGTTTGTATTTTCTTACGATGCTCTCCTTTTTCATGTTTTCTATGTTCAGTTTTGTTTTATCTCTAGGCTTCTGCGTCCATAGTCTTGGTAGTTTTATTCGGAGTGTCGTTTTAACTAGGAAGTGGTCTGAGTGGGCTCCTACCCCCCCTGTAACTTCTTACATCCTGAATCCAATGTTTTATTATGTTATCTGTCACTACGTGGTCAATCTGGTTTTTTGTGGTTCCGTTTGGTGACATCCATGTTTGTTTGTGTATTCTCTTATGTGGGAAAAAGGTACTACTGATAATCATATTCTTAGATCCTGCAAATGTAATGAGTCTTATCCCGTTGTCATTGGATATTTGATGTAGGCTTTCTTGGCCGATTGTAGGTTCAAAAACTCTCTCTTTCCCTATCTTTGCATTAAAGTCCCCCATTATTATTTTCGGTATTCTTTTTGGTACGCATTCATATATGGTATCTAACTCGCTGTAGAATTTTTCCTTGATCTGATTTCCTTTTTCCTCTATTGGTGCATAACCATTTACTAATGTCATGTTTAGCCATTTACATTCGACTTGTATGTAGCACAGTCTTTCATTATACGCTATAAAATTCTTAACATATGGGAGTATATCATTCTTGATTATAAAGCGTACTCCGGCTTCGTGATTTGTGCCACAGCTGTAAAACACTGTATGGTTATTTGACCTGTATAAGGAGTATATTCCTGATCCTGTCCATCTCAGTTCTTGAAAGGCCACTATATCTAATCTGTACGTTTCTATTGTTGAAACGACCGTAGCATATAACGTGCGCACGTTCCAAGTTCCTAAACTCAACTTTTCCAAATTTTTACTGTTCATCCGAGGCTGAGGTTTGTTTTGTTTCGGAACCTGTTTTGTTTTTACGAGTTGGGTGGTTGGCCCAACGTCAACCCCCATTAATGGGGGACCCAACTGGGTGGTGGTGGTGCTTCAGTGTCACGATCTTAGTGTACACCTACTTACCTGAGACGATCCTGAGCATCCTTCAGGCTACACCACCACCTGACTGAGGTCCATGGGATTGTCACACCCGTTATCCTGTAGAGGATACCCTAAGCGGGTATAAGTCATTGCTAATTAATAATATTATATATATATTATTGTGACTTGGCACGCCGCGTTGGTTTCTACCAGTCGCGGAATGCGACTGAGAGTAAGCATCGCCCGCTGATACTAGTTCCCGGGTGGGTGACCAACCGGAATCGTAGTAGTAAAAACCTTATCACATATACACATGTTTACTTACCTAACGTAACAGCCTTGACAACACCCTACAGTACCAACCTTACCAACCCTAGTTCACAATCCCCTACAACAGCTAATGGCCATAGTCACCGGGCTTAAGTATATTATACAGTGTTGGGTAGTAACGTAACAAAAGTAACGCGTTTTTGTAACGGCGTTAATTTACTTGTAACGAGTTACGCAATTTCATTAGAATTATTTCCAAGTAAAGAAAATGTAATGGAAATTACTTTTGGAGAGTAATTTCTATAGAACAAAGCATTACAGTTTCTAATTATTAAGTACCTACCTACCTATTGCGAATTGAAGAAATATATATGTATAATGCTGCGGTATTATTTTTTACCAATCTAATATGTATATATATTTAATTTTAACTCGTCATAATTCAGTTTTAAATGGTTTTGACATTTGAAATGTCTAATTGCACCGTAAATCACGAGAACTGTTAATTAAATGTATTATTTAATTTTATTCCTTTAAAAAGGTTTGCTATGAATATATCTTGTTTGGAAGGCTAAATGTTATATGATTCTATTAACAATACAGGTTTTATAAAGATTTTACATATTCAATTTGCCTGCAGAAGATAATCTCCAAGAAATTTAAAAAAAAATTGGTGGGCAGCAAGGCAAAAGTTTAGAGAAATAACGAACTGGGTGAACTTGGCAGCTTCCCACGCACTCAAGGTACTAACGGACTTACACAATGGACGTGCAGAACCTAAAGACCTGGATGTCCTCCTGACGCGGATCCAAGAAAACGACGTTTGAACCAGATCCATTTTTTAGATTATTAAAATTAGACCTCTAATTATACTTCAGAGAATAAACAATAATTGTATGTAATATTATGTTATGTGATGATCGGTGTTATTAAGGGCCGATTCTTGTAATTGATTTCATTATAATTTCATATTTATCATATTAATTCCATTATTTTTTAAAGAAATAAGAACGTGAATTGATTCCTTATTTTTAGGAATAGGAACGTAAATATTATCTTCTTTTGTTCTTCTCGTACATTTTTTAAGAAACATATGAGGAGAACAATTTTGTTTTGTTATTACTGTCTAGTTTTTAATCTATAAGAAAAATAAAAGACGAGACTACCAATTTTTTATTCAAATGTGTCTTGGTTATTTTGATTAGTGATTATGATAATAATTGATAATTCATGAAGAATGTGAAACGAGGAATTAAACGAGTTCCTTTTATTATTAAATGAACGAGGAACTGAACGAAACGCATGTACACTAAAGGAACGAGAATTTGAAAGGATTGTTATATAAATAACCGTTGGTGTTGATTCTGAATCCTGAAAGATGTAAAATGTCCGTACTTTTTTTTTTTTGATAATTTACTGAGATAAAATTAAGTAAATTTGGTAAATTTTGATAGTTTTAATATGTTACAAAGAAACACCCCCAGAACATCCTTAACATATCGGTAACATTTTTTTCTTATTTACTGGATACTATGGTGTTCATTTGAACACCTGGTCGTTATTTTTAAATTTTTTAAATTTTGGAACTGGGGTTCTAGTTCTAATATGTGTAAAAAATATAAAATTATGTAGGTATAGAACATTTAAAAATAATCAGAGAACTTTAAACGATGCCCCAAAGCCTTGAAAAGTTTAACATTACTAATATTTTAAACATAGGTTATTATCTATATGTGTGATAAAATCAAATTTATATTAATTGCCATAATAAATTGATCGTATCAGATATTCTTATGGTGTATTCGTATGTTTAATGTTATGTAGTATAGGCACTACACTATATTACTATCAGTGGTTGTGGACGTTTTACATTTTATAATATAAACTATTAATTTAACCTTTTTATTAATGTGTTATGACTGATGAATATTGGTCCAACATTTGGCTAACATGTTGTGGATATATCGAAAAAGAGTTTTTACCTCATAATAAATTATGTTCATTACATTTTGATGAAAATTCATACAAAAACACAAAACCAAGAAAGTTACTAAAAAAATGCACTTCCGACAAAATTTAAAAAGTTTCTAAATTCAATTACGGTAAGAAGAATAAGGAATGATTTAAATTTCTATAATAATTGATTAACATAAAATTGTTTTGTTTTCACAGTTAAATGTGAACAGTCTAGTTCAGTGATGACTATGATCGTGTTTGTTGAGAACATTCTAGGTACCAATTCATTTTTTAAATTGCTGTTATTAATATGGAATACCTATGTTCTCTTTTATACATTATATTTATTTAAGAAACACCAAAACGTCAGAAAATTATCAAAGTAGCTATATCCATTGTATAATATGATCTAAGCAAAAAACAGTGCAAAATTTGAGTTAGCAAATAATCATAGAATTTAAATTATGATATCGAATTATTAACATGTGTAACCATGGGTCAGGTTGTAGATGGTTACCACTCAAAATGTCAGCAAACAATAATTGAGATTAATATGTTCAATTCAATTATTCGCTAATATTTGATATTTTGTATTTAATTTTTAATTTTTTAAGTTGGTTCTGTACAAAATGTTCATTGTTCACTATCGTGTGCAGTATACAAAATATAAATTTAAACAGGTCATCTCAAATTTTCGTAAGTCGTACATAAACTTTAGCTACTAACCTAATTACGTATTCTGTAAAATACATGTAATGGTAGGTAATTATGTAAGTTATATACTTATACATTCCATATATATTAGTATACAAATATTACTTATTCTGCTAGTATAGTTGGCTATTTTAAACATAGTACTATATTCTTCGGTGCTTGGTCAAAAGGCAAAACTTGACAAGTCAAAATTATCAAGTTTTCAGGAGGTATATCTATATATTCATAAGTCTTGTGTAAATCCACTTGTTTTCATTTTTTATTGGAGTTGAATCAATTATTAATTTAATGATTGATATATCAAAAATAAATCTTAAAAAATAAATTTTTAGAAATAATACATCACATTTATGACATACATCATTCTTTCGTTTCTTTAATGAGAATTTTAACTTGTGAAATTCATCTTCATACAGTTTTCTTAATACATGATTTGTAAGACTCAAACAATATAAACCATACAATTTTTTAATATTCAAATATTATTTTAATAATTTTATTGTAACAACTCAATTACCAATGTTGACTGAAATATAATTATTTCTTATTTTGTCTTAATAAAACGATCTATCTTGACTTAAATCAAATGTATTAATAATCTCCTCCCAGAATTTAGACCTACAGTTGTTTTGACGGACTTTGAAGCAGCTTCGAGAACAGAACTTATCAGGCATTTTCCAACAGCTGTAACCCAAGGGTGTTGGTTTCATATTAACCAAGTGTGTAACTTTTAAATTAGAAAACTGTAATACAATATTCATTAACATACGTAAAAATTGTCCACGTTACAGCCAATAAAAAAAACACTGCAAAATACTCACAATTTTCTAATTTTTCTGTAACTCCGAACATAATTATTTTAAGATATTGTTAAGGTAGATACCAAGTAGTTAATTTTATAATGCCTGATAAAATATGAGCATTAGTAATTCTAATATAAGTATTAGATTAGATGTATATTACAATTTAAAAAAGCTAAGGTAATTATTTAGGTAATTCTAACATTACTAAACATTACGATTAAAGTCTCTATAAAATCACCTAAATAATGATAATGTCTTGCGATAAATAGATCAATCCTTATACTTTTGAACTGTATCTGTATATTATTTATTCAATTTGAACAAAACTTGAATTACTAAATAACCAATCGCTTTGTTTGATAAACTAAACAGTTGTCTTTTATTAACATGACACATTCCATATAGCTCGAAATGATAGTGTTCGTGTAATCTTCGAAGTAAAAAAAACTTGATCTAAATAAAAATAAAAATTAATATTCCTGTTAAATCATTTATGTAATATGAATAACATGTAGTTAATACTTATAATAGTCATATTTTATATTATATACCTGACGTTTAATTCTAGGGTTGTTTTCTATTAAGGATCGTCGATGTAAGACAAGACTCATCCGATTTACCTGGTAATACAAAAATTAAATTTGAAATAAGTCGAAAATACTAATAATTTTAATACAAAACGTACATTATATAGGTACATGCACTATCTGTGTCTTTGTTACTAAGAAAGTTTTATTATTAGTTTACATGGAGTATTTTAATATTTATTCATTTTTATTCACAGATGTTACCAAGTATTCAGAGTAGATGGAAAATAATTCTAAAGAGCTAATTAAACTTACAATAAATTCAATTAATACATAATATTATAATATAGAAACCTCTTTTTCGGTGGCGTCACCAATCGTGTATGACATTGACTATTCTCATCAACAACCTTATGAAAGAAATTACCAAATAAGGATCATTGATATAGTCTCTAGGGAATAATAAATATCCGTATATGGTAAATATGATTTCAGCAACATTTGCTCCAATAAAACCAACAATGGCCGGCACACCATATATTGATCTATTGACTTGGTGTAAGCATTCTATAACTTCCAAATACATGTCTCTGAACGTACTTAAGCACGATTTTCTTTCCGGAATTTGTTCATTTATTATGTAGATCATCCACTTCATGTATGATATAAGCAGTATATATTCCCAAAAACAAAAGCATTGGCAAATATTTAAAACCACAATTATGACCTAAAAATAAGTTATATATAGTAAACGGTTTGTGTTTTGAATATCTGATAAACATATTGCAAAACAAATAGTATAAGTTTTCCTCAATTTAATAAATTTATTTATTATCATACAAGACTATTAACTGCGTTCTAGAAAATACATTTTAGTTTTTTTTATTCAAATACATAATCTGAAAATTAATTTTTTTATATTTATTTTATCATCAAAAAGTTCTCTTTTTTGAAACTTAAAAATAACTTATATTTGTGACAAAAACAAACTTTTCTATTAAAAATCGGACATGCTATATTTAGTATTAAAATAGTTTTTCTCTTTGAATTAAATACGATTGATTCATCATTAAAAAACTGAATAATAAAAAATCTTATAATACTTTTTGTGAATTTGTATATTTGTTCAGAATAGATTTTTTTAAATGTATTCCGACTATATTTGATATAATTGTATTAGGAATACCGCAATACTCATTTAGTTGAATACGTATTCCAAATAAATAATAAAAGTATTCTTTAAATACTGATTATTTCTTAACCTAAAAAATATCTTTGGATAAGAATAATTACCATATCTATTATATTAAATATATGTTTCTGCATTATTATCCATATTGTTGTAGTTATAATATATAAAATTATATTTACAATAACTATAACTATTGAAATCCAATTAATATTTTTTATTTTCTTCAGCCCGTCCACATTCAAGCGTATCAATTTCTCGTGAACTGTTTCGAGTGTAGTCAATACCGTTGACAGTGGATTATCGAAAAATATGCGCCAAATTGTACATATGAATCGTCCAATAACACTCAATTCATAACAGCTAATGAATATTAAAGACGTTAGTTCAGTAATTTCCTTATCAGCTTCTATGATCTATAAAATGTAATTTTTTAAACACATTTCACAATTACTACATCATATATATAAAGGTAGGTATTTATATTAAATCATTGAACTATTCTTTCGTTTATTTGTTCATCAAGAAGATAATGTACTAAATTGAACAAGTTTGTAGGAAATTAGATATAATAAATTAAAAATTATAATAATAGGTATTACCAAACATAATGGTTAAAATAACGTATTATAATTGCCGTGGATGTAATTTGTACTACCAACACTGAAAATTAAAAAACCTTTGTTAAAATTATTTAACACTAATCTCACACTCATAATAACTTTTTTTCAACTTAAGTACAAAAAAAAATGAATTGAAATAACTTTGGAAAGTGCGTACTACGTATACCTATTTGTTTCAATTGTTTACTAAAAACAATACTTTGCGAAAGCTGTCTGTCAACCAATATTAATAAGTGTATTTTATGATTTAATTGCTATTAAAGTAATTGACTTTACTCATAGTAATACATGTAGGTTGAATTATTAATCTATTACGAAAATATTGTACTTGACAATGTCATTGTGTGAATAAAATATAATAATATGTTCAAGTTCGCATAAATAATATATTTATTTAATTGACCATTCATGTAACAGCATACAAAACTATTAAATATATTTAAATATAGTTATTACCCATCGGTTGGCTATGTAGAAGTTATGCAAACCAATATATATTATTATACATCGCAAAATATGAAACACCACCGACGTCTTATAATTGCCGTGGTTGTAATTTGTACTACCAACACCAAAAATCAAAAAACCTTTGTTAAAATTATTCAACACTAATCTCACACTCATAATAACTTTTTATTAAACTTAAGTACAATAAAAAATGAATGGAAATAACTTATGTTTTAGGATTTATCCTTTGTGACATTTGCTAATTTTAACTGAATTAAAATTACTATTGTTTTAAATGTAGGCAAATTTACAAATGGATTCATAAAAATATTTTAAAATGAATACTAAGAAGAATCATTGAGGTGAAAAACAAATATTATTATTATTAAGTGAAATGCTCAAGGAGTATTCTAAGTAAATTAATAACATTATTGTTTTTAATACTTGGTATATATACATTTATACTAATATTATAATTTGTAGGTTCAATTAATATTTGTTTTTATTGAACACTAAAACAATAACATTTTTAATTTTTTTTAAAGTGCGTACTACGTATACCTGTTTGTTTCAATTGTTTACTAAAAACAATACTTTGCGAAAGCTGTCTGTCAACCAATATTAATAAGTGTATTTTATGATTTTATTGCTATTAAAGTAATTGACTTTACTCATAGTAATACAATATGTAGGTTGAAATAATCTATTACCAAAATATTGTACTTGACAATGTCATTATTGTGTGAATAAAATATAATAATATGTTCAAGTTCTCATGAATAATATTTTTAACTATTTGACTAGTTCGTTAGTATTTGCAAAGACTAATTAACTAGGTAATTTTCGTGATTATGTCAAAATTCTAACTTCAAACGCTAATAACAAAACATTGTAGAGTTAAGTAATTTTTTTAATTAAATATTAATAAAAAATTTAACAACTTATGAGGATCATTGCAGAACGTTTTCAAGTTTTTTGACTAAGTGAAAAATTATTTATTGTCTATCGATTACAATTTTAAAAGAACCATAAGAAATCAAAAATTTCTCATGCAAACGAACGGCTTAAAAAGAATCAAAATATTAAAAAAAAAAAATCATGAATGTATTATTTACTGGATACTATATGGGGTTCATTTGAACACCTGGTCGTTATTTTTAAATTTTTTAAATTTTTTGACTGCAGTTCTAGTTCTAATATGTGTAAAAGTACTAAAACTATGTATTGAACATTTAAAAATAATCAGAGAAGTTTAAAAGATGCCCCAAAGCCTTGAAAAGTTTAACATTTCTAATATTTTAAACGCAGGTTATTATCTATATCTGTGATAAAATCAAATTTATATTAATTGCCATAATAAATTGATCGTATCAGATATTCGTATGGTGTATTCGTATGTTTAATGTTATGTACTATAGGCACTATACTATATTACTATCAGTGGTTGTGGACGTTTTGTCAGCAAACAATAATTGAGTTTAATATGTTCAATTCAATTATTCGCTAATATTTGATATTTTGTATTTAATTTTTAATTTTTTAAGTAGGTTCTATACAAAATGTTCATTGTTCACTATTGTGTGCAGTATACAAAATATTAATTTAAACAGGTCACCTCAAATTTTCGTAAGTCGTACATAAACTTTGGCTACTAACCTAATTACGTATTCTGTAAAATACATGTAATGGTAGGTAATTATGTAAGTTATATACTTATACATTCCATATATATTAGTATACAATTATTACTTATTCTGCTAGTATAGTTGGATATTTTAAACATAGTTTATTCTTCGGTGCTTGGTCAAAAGACAAAACTTGTCAAGTCAAAATTATCAAGTTTTAAGGAGGTATATCTATACATTCATAAGTCTTGTGTAAATCCAATTGTGTTCATTTTTTTATTGGAGTTGAATCAATTATTAATTTAATGATCGGTATATTAAAAATAAATCTTAAAAAATAAATTTTTAGAAATAATACATCACATTTATGACATACATCATTCTTTCGTTTCTTAAATGAGAATTTTAACTTGTGAAATTCATCTTCATACAGTTTTCTTAATACATGATTTGTAAGACTCCCACAATATAAACTATACAATTTTTTAAGATTCAAAAATTATTTTAATAATTTTATTATAATAACTCAATTACCAATGTTGACTGAAATCTAAATATTTCTTATTTTGTCTTACTAAAACGATTTATCTTGATTTAAATCAAATGTATTATAGTATTTGAGGTATTTTTATATTTTTTAATCAAAACAGTTCAAGTTGGCTTAACTTTTGTACTTAATATTTGGGTATTTTTATGTAATATAATACATTTTATTACTCTACATAATCTAGTTTGTTTTGATAATATTTTTTTTTTTTTTTAAGGAAATATATGCAAACCCATTGACAATTATTCAATAAAGCTGTAAAAAACAGACACTGTTTTAGTCATTTTACAGACTAAACTCGCAATTATGTCGCCCACGACAAGCGCATTAAATTTGCAAGTCGTAGACTTCGGTAAGGTTAAATTAACTTAAGAACATTTTTAAAACTTTCTTCTTATAGGGTACCTGGGTATGAAGAAAGAATGTGAGGACTGGCAACAGGACAAATTCATAGTAATTTAGAGAAAAATATATATCAATATAATATAAATTACTTTGTTCATTGACATATAATATTGCTATTTGATATTTGATATTTAAAGATATTTGCAGAGCTCTAGCAATTTGAATTCGGCATTCAAACTGGTTTTTAGGACATAAAAATACACATTTTTAGGGCTTTAGAATTTTGTAATTAAATGGCAAACACCTATTTTAACAACAATTTTTTTTATGCATTTAAGTAAACTTCCCACTTCCTAAGTCTAAAATTGTCCAAGTTACAGACAATAAACAAAAACACTACAAAATACTTGCAATTTTCTGTTTTTTTTTGGAACTTTGAACATAAATATTTTAAGATATTGTTAAGGATTAACATTTTTAATTAAATGTAGATAAAAAAATAGTTAATTTTATAATGCCTGATAAAATATGGACATTAGATAAGATGTATATTCTAGTTAAAAATAGCATAGGTAATTACTTAGGTAATTCTAACAATACTAAACATTACGATT